TTTTAATATTCCCTATGGTGGAAAAGGTTGGTAATTACTGCCATAGCTGACAACTTTTCTACCCCTGGTTAGAAACTAACCAGAGCAGAAACTGTTCTCTTAGAATATCTGTGAAAGATGCAGAAAGAGGAATCACTAGGTATGAGAGGAGGGTGGTCCGGGTGCTTATCTCTCCCATAATCCTTACTGTTGACCTGGTACCCACGAATAATAATCTTTCAATATTCTTTGATGTGGACATTTTACTCTTTGCTGATCTACTAAACTGTCAACAAAATTGTCAGTAGAAAAACAAAAGAGGGGCATCTGGGTGGCCCAGTTCATTAAACATCTGCCTTTGGCTCAGGTCATGATCTCGGGGTCCTGGGATCAAGCCCCGCACTGGGGCTGGGTTCCCTGCTCAGTAGGGAGTCTCCTTCTCTCTCTGCCCTCCCCCGCAACTTGTGCTCTCACTTTCTCTCTCTCTCAAATAAAGAAAATCTTTAAAAGAAGAAGAAGAAGAAAAACAAAGTTCCTCCAAAGCCTATCGATGATGGGCAAGAAAGAAAATCTGCTCCATAAACTCTCCTAGAAAATCTTATGTGCTTTACTCATATTTTTTTCTCCCCCTCTGCATCCTGTGATTATTCGGACTACAAGGCTGTGCTTTACCATCCTGGTTCAGACTAATGGTGGGTTTTACCTACTTTCAAGAAGGCAGGAAGCAGATATTATGAGGTTACCATAGGAGTTTTTAATCACAGACTAGTAACAAAATATAGATATGCAACTTTGTCAGTATCAGGTTGAAGCCGCAGAATTAGGGGTACTGATACATCTAATACCCCACCACAGTACCCCACATTTCTTAAAAAAAAAAAAAAAAGACATCTGGGGTTAAGAAAACAGTAAATTAGGTGTATGGCAATAGAGTTGTGGAATCACTATGCTGCACACCTGAAACTAATATTGTGTGTCAACTGTATTTCAGGAATTATATATATATGTGTGTGTGTGTATAGTAATCTACAGGAATTATATATATTATATATATATATAATATATATGGTAATCTACATATTAGGCTGGAATCAGAAATCAGTGGGGATAGTTCAGATGATTTAAAAATAATGTTGGAGGTTGGAGAAACTGGGTGAACAAACAGATGAAGTTCAGATTTTTTATCTCAACTGAAAAAAAGAAAAGAAGAAGAAGAAGAAGAAGAAGAAGAAAAAGAAGAAGAAGAAGGAGAGAGAGAGAGAGAGAGAAAGAAAGAAAGAAAGAATGAATGAATGAATGAATATGGGAGTACGAAGTATGGAGTCTTCCTAAAACCTCTTCCTCTTTAATCTCAAATTTCTAACTAAGTGGAGACCCAACTGTCATTGGCGGTGCCCATCCTACATTTCCCCAACTGGGTCTTCAACCTGCCTCAGACTGCCTTCAGACTGCACATGCCCCCAAATCAGAACCTGCCAATCCTCAGAGCAAAGGTCATCTGTTTATCCAAAGTGTGAGGATCAAAGTCACTCAAAACCTTACAGGAAGAGAGAACAGAGTAACTGTAATAAAATACTCATTTATTAACAAGTATTTGTTGAGTATTTAATATTCCCACACAATTTTGTAGGCATCAGGAAACTTATACTGACCTGAATAAGAAAAATTAGTCACATTTTCTGTTGCTCCAAAGGGCAGAACCAATAAATAGACTCAATGTAACTCTTTGCTACTTAGGAAGAAAGAACAGAATTTTTTTTTCTTTTTTGTTTCTTCCAACTAACATATGTTCAAATTAACATGCATCATTTTGACAGCATTAAAAAACACTTAGGACTTCTTTATTTTAAAAAACAAAATAAAACAAGAAACAGTGGCCTGATAAATAGAGGACACTTCCAGAGTAGATGTTTATGAAGATGGTATAGAGTACATGGTACAGGGTCAGATGTAAAGTCACTGCTGGTGTCTGCCTCAGCTCTATCCCTCCATAAAGCCCTCTTCCTCCTCTTGCTCCTCTCTTCCTGTCTACATCAGTCTTCCTTCCTTCCATTCCAAATATCTTCAGTGGGAGATGATTCTCTACACATTCATCTTTTATTACAAAATTATAAGGTATTACATTATAGATATGGAAATTAAATAAAAAGGCAAACATGAACAAGCCAAACAATGGTCCACAAATCATACTTGGCTTTTTAAAACTTGTATTTTTTTTTTCCTTCTTCATTGTGTGGCTTCTCTGTTAAAAACAGTACTAATAAGGGGCACACCTGGGTGGCTGAGTTAAGCATTTGCCTCCGGTCAGGTCATGATCTCAGCACCCTGATATAGAGCCTGACGTCGGGCTCCCTGCTCTGCAGGATGCCTGCTTCTCCCTCTCCCGCTCCCGCTCCCTCTGCTTGTGTTCCTTCTCCCGCTTTGCCTCTGTCAAATAAATAAATACAATCTTTTTTTAAAAATGCAACTAATAGGGGGCACCTGGGTGGCTCAGTGGGTTAAAGCCTCTGCCTTTAGCTCAGGTCATGATCCCAGGGTCCGGGGATCGAGCCCCACATTGGGCTCCTTGCTTAGCAGGGAGCCTGCTTCCCTTCCTCTCTCTCTCTCTGCCTGCCTCTCTGCCTACTTGTGATCTCTGTCTGTTAAATAAATAAATAAATAATCTTTTTTTAAAAAATGAAACTAATAGGAACCATGTTTAGTCACCTATATCCAATTAGTGAAACTGGTTAGGGTTTGTATTTAATGAGATTTACTCCAAGGATTTAATTCCCATGTGAGGCAGTTAGTTTACTCATCTACCTATTAGACAATCTACCAGGACACCATGTTCCTAAGTATCAGAGTATGAATCACTGCAAACATATCAGAATGAGAAAAGCAACGGAAAGTACATCTTCTTATTGAACATCTTCATCTACAGTCAAATGATTCTTCAATAAATCATGTAAATCTTTTGGAAGACTTCCATAAGATTATGTGTAAATGTGTTAAAAATATTAGAAATGTTATTTTGAAATCTGGACAAAAATAGGGGCACCTGGGTGGTTCAGTGGGTTAAGGCCTCTGCCTTCGGCTCAGGTCGTCATCCCGGGATCCTGGGATTGAGCCCCGCATAGGGCTCTTTGCTCGGCGGGGAGCCTACTTCCCCCTCTCTCTCTGCCTCTCTGCCTGCTTGTGATCTCTCACTGTCAAATAAATAATAAATAAAAAAATCTTAAAAAAAAAAAGGTACTCCACAAACCTTGTAATCTGTTTTGCTTTCTAATGTGAATAAAAATGTTGTGTGTTCTCTTTCTCATTAGCCCAATCCAATAAGAAAAATCAGTATATAAATCTGAATTTTTTTCACAAGCATTTTGGATGGTTCTTATGGTCACAGCAGAGTTGGAAGCACTGTGTTAATATCTTTTCACAGCTCTGGTTCATGTAATTATGTTCACAAGCTGCACCTACCGTTAAAGAAATAGCACTGAATACTAGATTCCTTGCCAGCAAGCCAGCTACAGGCACGAAACTCGATACCCAATTCATAATCTTGGCCTCATGGGCATCATGCTCTTCCCTGAACTCCCGGCCCAGGCACTGTTTAGAGTATTTTTCACATGCTGTCCATGTCAGGTCTTGGAGAATACGGTCAGAGGAATCCATAAAGTTAAAAAATGAAGAATTATAAAATGTTAAGAATTTAAATTGTTTCCTAGGCTGTAACTATTGCCATATTCTTTGATAATTCATCCAGTCCCTAGACATTAGGATTCCTAATCTTAAAGGAAACATGTTCTCCTCCTATAAGCAACTGGCTGCTTTCAAACAGCAGCTCCAGTATTAGAAGCCTAAGTTAAAAATTCTGATGCCATAAAGATGTATTTTACATCATTTCAAACTACATATATTTAATTCACACCTGCGGTATGTTGAATCATAATATTTTTATTTTATTTTTTGCAGCAAGGAGGTGATTTCTCAAACTATAAACATTTCAGTACATTTAATAACACATATGACAGAAGTGGAACTAAATTTCACAGCCAGTCTACTTATATCTAGACTATAAATTCTTATGTTTGCCAAGAGGTTGAACTATAAACATGTTGGCAATGAGCTGGATTTAAATTTGCTTTCATCATTTGCTTTCATCAAAAAGAGCTCACCATGCAAAGGTCAGGAAAGCCAGACAGAACAGATACCAAATCATTAAGATTAAGGTATTTACCTCCTAAAATATATGTATGTGCATAACTCAGAAGTAACTAAGTTAAATTATACTTAGCTTTACTCAACACTACTACAAAAATCTCACTTCTGCCACAGCATGTATCATTTGTTTATATGAGGTCAGTTTTTAATTTAAACGGAGTTTTATTTTAATGTTCAAAGTCCTCACAGATATCGATATTTGATAAAGCTACTTAATGAGACTTTTGAAGTAGTAGAGTGAGGGTTTTTTTTTGTTTTTTTCTTTACCATAGTTTTTTTATTCAAATTCAATTAGCCAACATACAGTACATCATTAGTTTCAGATGTACAGTTCAGTCATTCATCAGTTGTGTATAACACCCAGTGCTCATCACATCACATGCCCTCTTTAATGCCCATCACCCAGTTACCCCATCCCCCCACCACGTCCCTCCATCAACCCACAGTTTGTTTCTTAGAGTCAAAAGTCGCTCATGGTTTGTCTCCCTCTCTGATTTCTTCCCATTCAGTTTTCCCTCCCTTCCCCTATGATCCTCTGCACTACTTTTTATGTTCTACATATGAGTGAAACTATATGATAATTGTCTTTCTCTGATTGACTAGAATGAGAAGCTTTTCAGTAAGAGTATGACTGGCCTAGTTCTTCTAAGAGGTACACTCAAAACTAAGAAATAATACAACATGGTTGAGCAGTTCTCTCACTGGTGTGGTTTTCTGTTAATTTCAAAGAACATTAATACTGATCGTTCATCAAGGAGAGAATAAAGCAACCTGAAGATCAGGTTAGTGGTATTTTGGACACAGGCTGAAAGAAAGCATACCTTTCCCTCTCTCCTTCCATGGTATCATATAAACGGTTGGCACCTCCATCAGCACAGGCTCTCAAAAGGGCTTTAAATAGAAAAAAAAAAAAAAAAAAAGAACATTTCAATACAAGCAGCTTAGAGCAGTACTTCCTAAATAATAAACAGATGATTAAAAAATGATCAGACACACACACACACACACACTCACACTTTCCCTTTTGCATCTTTTCACATTTAGCCAATGATAGCTGCACTGCAAGTGATCCTACACAGCACTCAAGACAGACAGAATCACCTAAGACAAGAGTGTATTTCCTTTTCGTAGCCTTTTCAATTCCTCTTATTAAATAAAAGGGGAAGAGAGTACAGGGTGTCTTCAATCTCTCCTGAAGCTTGTTTTTCCTTCTTTATAAGAGAAGATAGGTCTCATGCTCAGTAAGAGAAAACAGGACATAGATATCCCTTTATGGCCTTACTTTATTAATTTGTACAGATGTTTTCTATTTATGGCAGGTATAGGTTTCCATATTTTGTTTTGATATAAAAAGTTTCTTTTAAAAATAAAATCTTAGGGGTGCCTGGGTGGCTCAGTGGGTTAAGCCTCTGCCTTCAGCTCAGGTCATGATCTCAGGGTCCTGGGATCGAGCCCCACATCGGGCTCTCTGCTCGGCAGGGAGCCTGCTTCCTCCCCTCTGTCTCTGCCTGCCTCTCTGCATACTTGTGATCTGTGTCGAATAAGTAAATAAAATCTTTAAAAAAATAAAATAAAATCATAAACATAACATTATAAGTTTATTTTAAAATATTAAGTGAAAATTTAGAAAATGTGTGAAATACTGTAAAAAATTTTGGGAGGTGGCACAAAATTAAAATTTGGTAAATAATAAGATATTTGAGTAAGACTGACTGTCTCTCCAACTGGGGCTTTTAGGTCTTGCCTTCACTGTAAGATATGATGTTGCTGATGAAGTATTCCTTGAAATTCTCTTACTCCATGGGCTACTATTTTGTTGTTGCTATTACTTCTCTAATTTCCAATTTTCCTAGAAATGTTCAGTATCTTAGCATCAGTTCCCTCTTTTCTTCACATTTTAAAATATCCTTTACCTAAAGGTTTCAGATCAAACTTTATTTTTTATCCTGGGTAAGGACAGTGAATGAGATTCTGATTCCTCACCCCAAACAACGGAAGCCTGTCTCTGGTCCCCAGACAGCTGTTAAAACCAAAGTCACTAGAGCCACAAAGATCAGTAAAGGCCTTGGCACCAGCAGCTTTGAAAGAAACACACTACTCTTTTGAGATACTTCTTTGATTCATGGCACTTATGAAATCCCTTTCCCCTTTCTGCAAATTTATACATTTCAAAGTATTTATACTATTTACCTCAAAATACCTAAGTGTTTAAAAGCAGTTCGAATATAGTCAAAAATATCTAATTAGCCCTTTGGCAGAAATAAAAGCCCTAATGTGTTTTCTACTAATCCATAATACGCGAGACTATTTTCTATGTTCCATGTTTTATCAGAAATAAAACAGGGCGCCTGGGTGGCTCAGTTGGTTAAGCAACTGCCTTTGGCTCAGGTCATGATCCCAGAGACCCGGGATGGAGTCTCACATCCTGCTCCCAGCCCAGCGGGGAGCCTGCTTCCCCCTCTGACCTTCTCCCCTCTCATGCTCTCTCTTTCTCTCTCTCTCTCTCAAATAAATAAATCTTTAAAAAAGAAAAGAAAAGAAATGCAACAGGCCAAGTGACAAAAATATACTCCTTTTTTGCTTCAGCTTCCTCATCTGTAGGTGGGGATAATATGGCTTAGCATTACTAAGCAATTAATGATTTAATAATTGTATATATTATTTATCAGAACACCAGAATACAGTAAGCATTCAATCAACATTGGTCCCCTTCCTCCATTTTTGTTAGAGTCATTATAAAGTGATTAAAAAGCTTGTGTTGGGCACCTGGGTGGCTCAGTTGGTTAAGTGACTGTCTTTGGCTCAGGTCATGATCCTTGAGTCCCAGGATTGAGTCCCCCATCGGGCTCTCTGATCACCATGGAATATGCTTCTCCCACTGACCTTTCTCCTCTCATGCTCTCTCTCTCTCTCATTCTCTCTCTATCAAATAAATAAATAAAATCTTTAAGGAGCGCCTGGGTGGCTCAGTGGGTTAAGCCGCTGCCTTCAGCTCAGGTTATGATCTCAGGGTCCTGGGATCAAGCCCCACATCGGGCTCTCTGCTCAGCAGGGAGTCTGCTTCCCATTCTCTCTCTGCCTGCTTCTCTGCCTACTTGTGATCTCTCTCTGTCTGTGTCAAATAAATAAAACCTTGAAGGAAAAAAAAAAAAAAAGCTTGTGTTCCTGGACAAGGAAAGCCTAAGCTACTAAAACAGTGCATAAAAAAAATAAGAGTTTTTACAAGGATATTTAAGAGGGTCGGCTCATTTTACCAATTACCTACAATATACATTTCCTTAGGAGGAATGGCAGCCAAATTCAAATTAAGCCACAAGCATAACATGCAGAAGGTCACAGAATATTCTGCATATTTCCTAAATATCAAAACCTAAAGTTCAAAAGCATCAAAATCTAAAATAGGTCTAACATATAAAATATGGCATAGAACAAGTGAATAGAGAGTGAAAAGACTGATAAATAGAAGCATATGAGGAACTACCAGTAATCACCCTCCGAGTATATAAAACAGTTATCTGTAAGCAAAATTAACAAGTGTATTAAATCTTTTTATATAAAAATTGGTTCACCCAAGTAATATGAAAAGCTAAGAAATAGGTTTTAGTGGCTAAGGATTATCAAATAGAATGAGCTGTCAACTTCACAGTGTGGTCTTATTCTACAAAGATCAGTTGAATTCAACATTTACACCTGTTATGTTCCAGGCCCTAAACGCAACAGCAAAATGAGTAACAAACAGATCTAGGACGCCAGGGTGACAAGTGAGCAGAAGAAAGACCAACAAACGTACACACACACACACACACACACACACACACACACACGCGCGCGCGCGCGCGACGCGCTACAGACTCTGACGAGTGCTAATAATAAGGGTAACAAACTTCGACGGGAAGACAAGGAAGGGAGAGATGAATTTTGAGTAAACATCTACTTATCGATAAATACAGCTCAAGATTACTGTTACTTTCACAATACCAAAACTTTGTCTAATGTCTGTTACTTCCTATGCCTAAATTTAAATTGATACTTTTAGAGCAGTTTATGGAAAGAGAAATATTTAGATCATAGGAAGCAAACTTGTCCCCATCTATTCTTGTTTCAAATGGCAAAGGGAGCAAAAATAGCCATGAGTAAATCTATAGACTTTTTTTCTCGCTACCTTTCGGTTAAGAGTAGGGGTACAATCCCACTGAAAGGAAAACAAGTTCCCAAATGTCCCTGAAAGTATTTTGTTTTCAATAAAGTTTGACTTAAAAACAAAAGATGTGGGGCGCCTGGGTGGCTCAGTGGGTTAAAGCCTCTGCCTTCGGCTCAGGTCATGATCCCAGGGTCCTGGGATCGAGCCCCGCATCGGGTTCTCTCCTCGGCGGGGAGCCTGCTTTCCCCTCTCTCTCTGCCTGCCTCTCTGCCTACTTGTAATCTCTGTCTGTCAAATAAATAAATTAAAAAAAAATCTTTAAAACAAACAAACAAAAAAAAACAAAAGATGTATTCTACCATTTTTAAATGTTAGTGATAAAAATGTTTTAGCTAGTTTGAAATACTTTCCACATAATGTAAATAAAATTTGTAATAAATATATATAATTTAAATTGTATATATATATAATTTATATATATAATTTAAATTTATATAAATATAAAATATGTAAATAAAAGTAAAAAATTACATTTGAAAAATAAAGTATTTCAAGCATAAATAATGCTGGCATGAATTCACTGACAGCACTTGGAAAAGTGAGTTTCAAGCATGACTATTAATGAAAGTAACAAACTTAAAGAACCAGAAGTAGAAGGTACTCTGACATAAAATATTTTTTATAAGTCAGAATGAATCAGCCTCAAAAATCTGTTCACTCCATCATTTAAATTGTTCCAAACTTTAATATAGGTTAATTCAGGAGTTACCTGGTAATGTAAAATTTTCATTGGTGTATATACAGCAAAAGTTTTGCATATTTGTCAAATATCATAACTTCAAAGGTTGAGCAATTATTTCTTATGCATCAAGCTTATAAACAGCTAAAGACTAAAATACATTAAAATCATTAACTTTATATATTGGTACTACCAGTAAGTATATTAAATGCATCTGAAACTAACAGGTCTTTTTTAAACTGGCATAATGTAAGTTAATATTACTGACAGATAATGAAGGGCTCCATTCAACATCGGAGGTTAACTGGCTATTTCATTAACTTTTGTTGAATAAAGTTGGACAGAAATAATTTGATTTTCTCAACAGCAGACTATTATATTAGTTCCAAGTATTAAAATGAAGGAAAAGTAAAATTAATCAAAGAAGCATTTTTCAGTTTAACTGCAAGAAAACCAGATATCAAAGATTTCAATTCTAATCTAGACCACTTATTAGTTCTATGACTTTGAGCTAATCCAAAGCCTGCTGATTCTAATGTAAAATAAAAATTATTATATATATTTTGCCAAATTCACAGAATTTTTCAGGGACTCGAGGGAGACAACATAGACAAAACTAGAAGGAAGTAGCACAGGGAAATATCCTCTCACATGCTATTGATGACAATTTTTTTTCAAAGATTTTATTTATTTATTTGACAGAGAGATCACAAGTAGGCAGAGAGGCAGGCAGAGGGGGAGGGGAAAGCAGGCTCTCCACTGAGCAGAGAGTCCAATGCGGGGCTCGATCCCAGGACCCTGAGACCATGACCTGAGCCGAAGCCAGAGGCTTAACCCACTGAGCCATCCAGGCGCCCCTGTTGATGACAACTTTGAGGGACAGGTTGGCAGATTAATAAAAATTTAAATGTGCATCCCTCTGATCCAGAAATTCTATGTAGCCTACATAAACACTTGTCCAAATTCACAAGGGCTTATGTACAAGGATATTCATTGTGATAATATGTGTAA